ATTGTTTTTTTTCCATACATCTTGCACATTTTTATCGGTAAATATAATATAATACAAGACACATCCGGTTGAAGAATTACTATCGTTTGTAAATGGTACAAAAATCGTCATTAGTTTCGGTATTATTCATTTGTTAAGAAACTTTTTAAAAAAAAAGATTTCAATGTATTAAAAATAATCCCATTAACGACGAGACGATAATGATGACGATGATGATGATGATGATGATGATGATTGATTGATAAAAAAGTAGGGATATTTTACTTTTTTTGTTTTTTTTTTTTGCGACAAGTAAATTATTGAATGAATACTTTTGAAAAAGCGAGTCAAGCACGTTAGTATTAGAACATTAATTGATAATGTGCCTTGCGATAAACAGTGGTTAAAGTCGACACGCGTTCCTCGTGAACGATGTGATGGTGCGTTCTCGCTGGTAAGACAATTGACAACTGGCCTAGATTCGAAAAATGACGATACTCTATGATGCCTCTTCTTTTATTACTTTTTCCAAGTCGGTTATTAGTCGCGACATTATTCGCGATAAGTTATCATTTGTTCTTACGATATAAATAATTAAGTATTAGAGAAATTAATTCGGTGCCAATATATTAACGAATTTATTTTATAGAAATCAATGCGGGGTTATTTTTATTTTTGTCAAAACGATTCGTCAGTTGCTTAAAATATAGATCAAAGTCATTGAAAATAATTGATGATATATATCAAAAAAGAGTAACAGACGTATGATTGTTTAAGAACTGAATGATGAAATTTGTTTCAACAAAAAAAAAAAAAAAAACACCGAATTAATCGCTACGCCTAATAAATATAGGTTTTCTTTTTTTTTTTATATATTATCTATAAAATTATTAATTGTGTATGTAATACGATATTAAAGCAAGTAAGTGTGTGTGTGTGCATTGCAGAGATATAAATTTGAATTCATTGCCTTAATGAAGTTGTGCCAGGACAATTATATAAACTCGAGGTAACAGGGGGTAGTTGTGTTGAAACAAATATTGTTCTACTTCATTGATAATCTATCTTTTTCTTTAAATAGCTCCCCACTATCTATCTATCTATCTATTTAATTCGTCAATGACAAAACTATCAAATAATTTGCAAAATATTTTTCCTTCGTATAATTCTAAAAATAATTGTAAAACTCGTTAGAGAGAAAATTGAGTCATAAGTTATATATATCTCGGAAGTGTAAAACGATCCTAGAATTATCTACTTATCCGTGAGACACTTGTCACCGGAGTTCTACGACCGACTTAATTCCCTACTAATCTGGCACCTTCCTCGTTTATAATACCTTATTATCTTCCTTTAAACGAATCGATTAAAGTCAAGATTATAATCATCATTTTTATTTGATTATCATTCTCGAAAGGACGATTATTCGATGTTTAAAATATTTTCGAGCATTGATGTCTTTTTTTTTTTTTTATATATATAAAATATCTTACTTTAAATCCCATAAAATGTCACATAAATACTATAAATACTTATAAATACTTATATACTATATAATACTATAAATACTTATAAATTAATTCTAATTAATACTTATAAATTAATAAATACTTATAAATATAATAAAATAATTATATAATACTATAAATACTTATAAATTATCTTCATGATCATTATCAAGAACTTATACAATCGTATCTTGAGGTAGAAAAATCAATCGAATAATTCTTCCAAAGACTTTTTAAACGTTTCGACGAGTTGTCGGGGAGGGGGAGTGGGGGGCCCGGTGGGAGGAAATACACAAAAATAAAATAAAAAAAAGTTAAATACCCTTTTTCGCTCGTGGGAGACTGCAACCTTGTTCTCGAGTAAGAAAATAAAAATAATAAGAAGGAACCGATAAAAAGTAACTGAGGACGACGAAGGTGCCGAGTGAGAAGGGCAAAATAGCCCAGCAGCAGCAGCAGCAGCAGCTGCTGTCCTCCTAAACCCTATTCTTTGTGTGCTCCTACAGGTTGGCAGGTGTCAGAACGAGATACATCTGCTAAGTTGCACGCATATCCTGCGACCGTGTTTTTCGAAGGGACCAAAAACAGGGCCCAATTTCTCTACGTTATAAATTCGCGTTGGATCGTCGTCCTCGCACTTTTTAAAACGTGATTTCACATATACACGCGATGCAGAATCAAAATCCGATCACCTGCTATCAGAACTTGCCAGGTGTTCCGATATATATATATGGGGAAAGAAATAAAAATCAAATCAAAGTAATCAAAAAAAAATAAAAACAAAAAAAAAAAAAGAAGAAGCAAACGAAATTGGGAATAAAAAAAAGAAAATGAAATGCTAAATTTCCAGAAGAAAATTAAGTTCTCTTCCCTTCCTTGAGCGAAATAATAATGATAGGTTTTGAAATTCGACAGTGGTGGGTGTTTCGTTTTCCTTTTATATTATTTTCTCTCTCTTTCTCTCTCTCTTTCTTTCTTCCTTTCTTTCTTTCTTTCTTTCTTTCTTTCTTTATCCTCATCAATTTGTGGAGCACTTCTTTTTCTACTTCCTGTTTTTATTATTATTTTTTTTTGTAGTTCTTTATCCGGCTGGACCCTTGGCTCGCTTCTTTGTTCAGTAACATCTGTTCAAACCTCTTCAGGACTCTTCCAACACCCTCATGTATTAGTTTCTCTTGAATTTTCCAAGCCGAAAATTTTGAAAGTTTTCAATATCTTCTTTCTTGCATGGGGAATAAGGGTTTACCTTACTCTAGTTTCAATTTTATCTCTAAAGAAATTTACCGAAACACGTGTTCCAGTTTTAGAAGAAGGATAGGTAGGATGGTTGGGATGATGCACCGGGGATGTTCAAGGATTCGTAAAGATTTATTTTTTCTTTTACTCGATGAAACTCGATACGATTTTAAGCCGAAACCCCATTCATATTTCTTTCGAAAACGCAAGTACAACTTGAAACAATATTTGACGTTGATCGTTCCAACGATTTTTTTCTTCTTCTCATTTATGTGTGTTAGTCTTCTTATAAAACGACAAGAAGAAGAAAAGTATCATTTCGACGAGAATATAAAACGGTTCAATTTGATGACTTTGAGGAGAGGGGAAAAGAAAAAACAAAAAAGTTGAAAGTTTCAAGCTAGCGCATTCGTGATCAGCGCATAGCGCAGCACACTTTTAACTTGTGTTTCTTCTTGCAAAAGTTAACGGGAACAACCTTGTAGTTTACACAAACGTAGGCTAATAGCACCGAATCACGTGTTCGGTTTGACCTAAAAATGATATACAACGTGACTTATGCGCGCATATTTCATTATTTCCTCAATAATTAAGACACAAACACCGTTGTTTGTTAAAACTCGAAGAAAGAGGAAAGAAGAAAAAGAAAAAGAGAAAGGAGTAGGGAGAGTAAGTATTTATTTTTTTTTTAATTAAAGAAGTAATCGTGAGTCAGTTCTTAGACAATGGCTCGTGAAAGTGATCTACAAGGTCCGTAGGGGCATGAACATCGATTGGTGATCATTAAAAGGGAGCCCATGGCTTTCTTTTCGTCGCTATTATTCTTTCACGACTCCCATTGTCTCGTTGACTGTCCTAACGGAGTTTCTTCGTAAACGCTCCTTTATTCGAAACACTTCGATCTCGTTGAGATACTTGGCACGTTATTATCGACTACTATCATAGTTTATATATCTTTCACAATATCTACTTTAAAAAAAAATATATATATATATATATATTATTATTATTAGTATTGTGACACATTAAGCAATGTGGGGAAAACGGTTTCGTTCGTGATACACTTCCAATGTAACACATTTGATTTGCGTGGAAAATGTAGGTACGTTGACCTAACATTTAACGGAACGAGAAATGAACGGCCCGAACGATTTGACATTGACAATGGATCAGTTCGTAGAATGACCCTGCGTCAGGACATTGCCCTATGTTTCCGGACACACATGTGTATGTGTGTGTGTGTGTGTGTCTTTCTTCCAAATTAAACTACGCGCGTGGACAATGAGTTGGCAAAGATTTTTTTTTATGTAGATTTGTTAATTCTTATTTTGATATGCATCATTTCCTTATTCATATATATATGTAATCATCATCCGTTTGTTATCTTCTAAGAATAGGGTATCCTATTTTCTCTTTTTATTCGCTCGTAAAAGTATAAGATCACTTAAAAGAAAATATATATTATAGATAAAGATTTATTCATTTGCATCGTTGGTACAGTACAGTATCAGCTTTTCTTCTTCTTCTTCTTCTTATTTTCATCGTGAAATCTCCCACACATTCATGAACTCTAACTCACGACTTAAACAAGACGATCATTAATTAGTTGAACATTGTTTAGAAACATGCACCAACAGATCGGCTGTCGCACGGCTCATTTGTACCACTTGCTTTTTCGCGTTATTTATCGCGTGAAAGTATATTATTTCGATTTGATCTTTGTCCCAATTTTTTTTACTCGAAGATCATTCACGTATACTTTGCACGATCATTAAGGAAAACAAATATGAGTAATAAGAAAATGAATAGTATATATAACGTTTTATAAAAAGAAAAGGAAGAACATCGTTATCGATAAGAGTATAATAAAATCCATATGGTTGTATTAATTCAAAAAATTTCGTAATTGAAAATTTAAAAACTCTCGAATCTCGGAAAAAAATGAACGAATTTTATTAGACTACTGTTTTTCGTTAAAGACCAAAATTGTCAAGATTCACATGATATCTTGGTCCCTATATCCGAAATATTAATGTATAAAAACAAACCGAAATATTCAGTCTTTAAACGATATATTTGAAGTATGTGTTAACCATGTTCATCATGTGAATCTTGACATTCTCCAATTTCGGTCTTTGAACGACGTATTTGAGATATATATTGACCATGTATGTCAATTATGTGAATTTTTACATTTTCCAATTTTCTTGGTCTTCACGATAACATATATATATAATAAAAATGAAAATGAACGAGTCCATATTTCATAAATTTCAGAGTCCCGGAACGCTGCACAAAGATGTCAGCGGTGCTGGTACCAAGGTTAGTGGAAAGACGGTCGGAGGTGTTGGCACGGCAACCCTCACCACGCTCTCATCCATTAATAATACATCCAATGCCACTCGAAACAAGAACAATCCAGTACCACACGAGGTAAGAAACTATAGACTAGAGAATTTTGTAAGAAACCCCAAAGGCGATTGTATTCAAACCCCGATCCGCGATACATCATTCCTCGGACAAGAAAGCTGCCTGCTTGCTTGCTTACCTGCCTGCCTGCTGGCTGGCTGGCTGGTTGGCCACGTATTCTGATAAGAGACTTTCGATAATTAACCGGTTCTTTCTTCGTGTTAATTTATCACCGACGCAATACTTATTCGGTTACCATGATGCATCAGAACGAGGTCGGACTATCGGTTCCCCTTCTTTCTTTTCTTTTTTTTTTTCTTTTTTAATTATTTATCTATCTAAACTATTCGATCGGATGATGATATAAATGTATATATATGTACGTGCTAATTGCGTCAGAATTTTTGGCTAATACATTTTTGTCCCGCCCCCCCCTCCTCCCTGTAATCGAAATATTAGGGTGAATCAAAAGTTCGTGCGTGTTTTTTCTTTTTTTCTAAATTAATCTTTCACTCTTGCATATATAAAATAATTGTATTGACTTAAAAAAAATAATTGCACCATCTGAAAGAACACTTAATATTAAAACGGAATCATTTCGATCGATTAAAGGATGATATGGTGTATTTATTTTTGAAGTTCTCACGCTTTTTTCTTTTTTTTTTCGTTTTGTTTTAATCTATCCTTTTGAATAATCACTACATAAAGCATTAGTTTCGTACCACGCTATGACTCATCGGGGAAGAAGGAAACAAAGATAAAGAAAGAGGAACAAAGTGTCCCAAAAAAGAATAAAAAAAAAAAAAGAAGCAATTTCGTCCTTCGAACTCGTCCAGCCATAAATATTCGCGATATATATCCACGTATATATTTCTTTTCCCTGACAAATCCGTTCATCCCAATAATTACTTCTTCCTCGCTGGTTATGACCTCGAGCACGCGGCTATGGTTTCTCAATAATAAAAAAAAAAAAAGTAAAAAAGGGTGAGTATAAAAAAAGAAAGAGAGAGAAAGAGCTGGGATCACGTCGAGTCACCACGTCATTACGATTTGTCTCTGTAATATCTTTCTCTCTATCTATCTATCTATCTATCTATCTGTCTCTTTCTCTCTCTCTCTTTCTCTCTCTCTCTCTCTCTCTCTCTCTCTCTCTCTCTCTCTCTCTCTCTCTCTCTCTCTTTCCTTCTTTCTTTTCTCAAAGTTATTATGCGGCAGGGACGATCGAATTTCGTTATATGCTCGACCCCGTGGTCGTTGCATAACTATACTCAGCGAGCCTTTTTGCAACGTGCAATTTTCAGGCATCACCTGGTACGTACCTACGTACGTGGGACAACACATATAAATTCACGTGAACTCAACCTCATATATACATATATACGAACCCGGCACATGAGAGGGGGGCGGGGACGGGGACGGGGACGCGTAAACATATATAGAAATATACAGAAGCACAAGCCTTTGCCCACAACGGCGGCATATTATTGCAGTTACCCTCTACATATGTATTACGTGGGTAAATATTCATCCATACCGTATTATAGCTGGCAAAAGAGAGTCCGGGGGCAACGTATACTACTACTACACAACACCCGACTTAAACTCATACGTGCGGTTTTATCGGACTTCTCTCTGAACTAATTCATACGTGAATTTAGAAAGTTTCTTTGTGGGATTTGAACCTAATTGTTGCAACTTGCGCAACCAACAGAATAACCGTCCGTCCCGTTCCGTTCTGTTCTGTTCTGTTCTGTTCTGTTCCGCGAAAGTCCCGCCGCCCCTTCACACCCTCTTGCTCCTATGTCGTGGTGGTAACTTACTTTCTGCTCCTTTTGTTTCAACTTATTCTTCGTGCTTATATTTCTATTATCATCATCATAGTACTTATAATAACGTAACAATAACAATGATATAGAAAATTCTTTTGTTAACAACAACTGCAGTAGCTGCAGCAGCAGCAGCAGCGTTGCATTGCGTTGCATTGCGTTACACATTTTATAACTAATGTATAAGTAAGTATTAGAAGCTTTAACGTTAGTTATCTCTAAAGTGTCATCATTTTGTTTAGTTATTTTAAGATTTGACAAGGAAGGAGAACCATTATTCGTTGAAGATAGGAAATATAACCGGTACGATTATGTTCTATATACTACTTCTGTATACTTTCTGAACGTTAATTGTTATCGCTTATATATTTACAGTGTGATGTAGATAAGAAAAAGAACAGAAATGGGTCGATTGTCTTTCAACTCCTAAACGATTTATATCTTTCGACATTGTCGATTACAATTTTTAATCTCAAATCTTTTTTTTTTCTTCTTTTTTTTTTTTTTAAAAGTTTAGATCCTTAGTTTTGATATCACGCAATGAGAGATGATTTTTCTATAAACTTTTTGAAATTTATAGAAAAAAAAAACATAATTTTACAAGTAATTCTATTAGATTTCAAGAATAAGGTAAATATATTCGTTTGTTTGATAAAAAATACGAGCAATAAAAAATATAAACAAAAAAATCAGTCATATTCGATAAAAATAATACAGATTAAAATACGATCATAAGGTACCTAAATAAATTGGAATGCTTTCTAAACGTGATTATTTTATCCGGAAAAAAAAAAAAACATAAAAATTCATCATTTCCGTTGGTTTTGAATTCCTCTGAAACTCGATCGTGACTCATAGAAACGATGTCTCTCGTTAGAATTTCTTCGAAGTATTTCGAAGGAACGATGATAAGATTACTATGACGATCCAGAAATAATGATTTTGTGCGAGTTACTAAACGAAAAAATGGTTTCTACAATATAATATCGTTGTCGTCATAATCGTCGTCTCCTTGAAACGTCGTGATCGATCGGACATACGATTCCCTTTTGTTCATTCCATGATTCTTAACTCATGGAGAAAGATATAGCAACAAGAAGTTACGCTTACGTAAACTTTTAACAATGATATTCGCGCGTTCTTACACGCTCGTCACATTACGCTTATAGTAAGTGTGTTAGTGTGTATCCTGCTTGGTTTTCTGGCCGCAAGAAAAACTCCACGCGATCTGACGCGAATAATTCCTCGTTTCTTTTTAATCCTTTTTTTATTTGTTTTTTTTTTTTTTATTCCGATCTATCCGGATATTTCAAGGTTTATTGGCAAAACAAAAAGAGAGAAAACAAAAAACTCAAGGCGACATCTCTCCTTCTCTCTCTCTTAATTCTTAATTATTTATATAATTGTTTATATTAATTATTATCTTCGTCGTTTCGATTAACGAACATTAATAAATGATTACATTGGTTGGGGAGGTTTATTTCGGAAAGTAATTTCGAACAGTCATTTCAAATTTAGAGTCAATCGGTAGTTTTATTTTACCATTATTTAAAAACTTTTGATGAATCTTTTTCTAATAGATGTTATCATCAGAATGAAATTTTGATGAGCAACAATGTTGATATTTTTTTTGCATATTGGTCTGACGCATACATTTTTTTGTTCTCGTGTGCACTACGTTTAGTATTCTTAACACAATAAAAAAAAAGGAAGAAAAAAAAAAGCAAAATATAACGAAAATGCTTACTATCATTTTCCATTTCTGATGCAATATCAAAAGAAAATAATTTGACATCGAAACACAGGTCTCTCTTTCTCTCTTTGTTGTAAGAAAATGTAAAATGATTTTGAAATTCGAAGCAAGGTGAGGTTTGATGGTTTTCGGTAACGAAATTTATCAGCAAAAAAAAAGATAAAATAACTTTTCGAACATTTATGCAAAAAAAGAAATCAAAGGCGCACGATTTGCAGTTTACAAAATTTTCTATCCGTTTTCCTTTTTACAAACGTTTAACCAACGTTCATCGTCATTCAACGATTGTTTTCGACTGAACTGAGCTTTGAGTTTATTAAACTTCCTTTTCAAAATCCGATGCAACAACTCGTACTTCAATAACGATAAACGCATGGATCGATAATCGAGCTTGCTTATGTGTTATTAAACAAAACAAAAAAAAAAATGAAAAAGATCTCATTCCTGAGTCACGGGAAAAATTTTGTTTACATTTCGAAATAACTCTGCTTACTCAGAAAAGAAAAGAAAAGAAAAGAAGCGCAGAACTTGTATCTCGGTCAACAACGCGTGCATAAAAAAAAAAAAATCAAATTGTAAGATTCAACAATAGCGATTACGTTTATAATACTCGTATCTTCTTTTTTAATGTTCTTTATCACGAACGAATCGATTCGTTGTTATGGGATCATGTGTTGGCTCGAATGAATCTTAAATTTCGAATATTCTTTTTTCTTTTCTCTTTATCATTAGATCGAGTTACGATTATTAAAACTTTCGCGAGATATCGCATTAGGTGGAATTAAAGAGGAAAATTAATAGATAAACTTTTTATTTCTCGCAAATAAATTGCGAGTTATCTTTTTTTTTTTTTTTTCACGAGAAATCGTAATTGCTCGTGTACCCATAACACAAAAGAATAAGATAAGAGTATTAGAAGATTTTTGCGCAATCGAATATATCGTGTGATATCGTATCAATCTTTAGAAATGAAATAAAAAAAAATCAGAGAACACGGTCAATCAAATTAAATGGGATCGATAATGTGCGATTGAATTAATAATAAAAAAAATCAACAACAAGAACACTTTAATACAGAAGTTGAGATGATTCTTAATATCAATAACACGAGAGCACATAGGAAGATTCGAAATAAGAAAAAAAAAAAAAAGAAAAAAAGAAAAGAAATTAAATAAAAGAAGCAGGTAGAAGCTAGTTAGTATCGTTCACGTAGTTGTTGCATTTACCGCTTGCTTGGCAGCAGTATGACACTGTAACTCGATAGGTTGGCTTTGTATCTCGCATTTCGCGATAATATAAATACTCTACCTATGGGGGGTGGGTCGACGTTAACGATCCTACGTGAAAGAAACCTAATGCCCATGTTGTTCCGCTTTGTGATACTCTTCTAACTGTTAAAACAATCATTTCGATTCAACTTGTTCACCTCCTAACTTCTTCTCATC